ACCCAGCTTTTTACATGGTTCTTGGGATCTAAAGACAGATGCTTACATGTGTGAAGTAGATGCTGTACTTACTGAACCATCTCTGAGGCTCCATGATGTGTTCATCTCAATGCCCATTTAGTTGTCCACCCTCTCTCTCTAGATGCCCAGCTCCTCCAGGGCAAATATGAACCAAATCACTTTCCCTCCTAATATGGAAATTAGTCTTAAGAAATAAAAGCAAAGCCAGCAAACAAAACAATACAATTTCTATTTCACAAATCAGTTGAGAAATAGATTTCCGAGCAGGTAGCTAAAGATATAAATAAGAGAGAGGAGGAGGAAAAGGAGGTGGGAATGAGAGTAAAGAGAAAAAAGCTGGAAAGAAAACTCACCAGGGAGGTCTGGAGCTAACAGTTCATTAACAGGACTACAGAAAGTGGTTTTGGTCCAGTAATGATCTCTCCTGGGCATGCCTTCTCAGACATTTTGGGAGGTTGTATTAAAGTCTGTGCTTTGAAACGGGGCCTGTTCACTACCCGTCCCTTGTAGAACTCTGACCTCTGAGTACGACAAGACCATCGCCATTTCCTCACAGGAGACCCTTAGAAGATCAGGTTCCCTGGTGGAAAGGGGGAAGAGGATCCATGAGTCACACATGATAAAATGTCAACAATTTTTGTGACCCCATAGATAGGAGATGGGAGGACAGAGACAAGAAGAGCCCCGGAAGGTTACAGGCTGGCTAGTCTAGTCTGCTTGGCCAAGTTCTAAGCCAACGAGAAATCCAATCTCAGACAAAAGGTAGAAGGCACCTGAGGACTGATACCAGAACTTCTCTTATGACTGTTACACACATGTTGTGCACATGAACATGTACTTATCCACTCAACTACATAAGCATACACCCATGCACATATACAACTGCATCTTAAGTGATGGACTAGAGGGAACTAAGAGCTGAAAGGAAGGGTCCTGGGCCTGTGAATAGAAAGGGAGATGAGCTTATTGCTTCATGGAGAGTTTCTTTGTTTTTGTTTTTAAAGAGGGGGAAGTGGTGCAGGAAAATTCTCTGTATTCTGTCAATCATGTTATAAATAAACGCCGATTGGCCAGGCAGGAAATATAGGCAGAAAAACCAGACAGGAAGTAGAAATGATATAATGAGAACAGGAGAATTCTGGGAAGGAGGAAGTTGATTCCTCCAACTCCTGCCCACTGCTGCCCAGATCACTGAAGCAGCAGGATGTGATCTGCCCCACTGGAAAAAGGTACTGAGCAACATGGCTAGCATAGACCAGAAAAATGGGTTAATCAAGATGTGAGAGTTAGCCAGTGAGAGGCTAGAGCTAATGGGCCAATCAGCTTATAATTTATAGAGACCTATGTGTGATTTTCTTTGGTCCTAAACAGTTGTGGGGTACCGGGCAGGACAAAAACCACAACAAACAAGCCAGCTGCTCATGTTACAATGCCTAGCCACGTGCTACTCTGCTTACTTTGCGTAGAGGAGACAGAGCCGGTAATAGAAGGGAACCATGGAGTTGGATAAGCAAAGCAAATCCTGGTGACAATGCCACTCACTACCCCACAAATCTCTCCAGTACATCTCGGCCAACATTCAGTTCTAAATCCACCTCCTCTTCACCGACACTTCTGCTACCGACCTCCCTCCGTATTGCTGCAGCTCTGCCTGTTTCCAGAACTTTCTAACACAGTTCTCCACATAGCAGCCAGAAAAATCACTAGCTGTTAAAGAGAGCATGCGGCTCCTCAGCTTCAGACCCACCCATCGCCTGGCATCACAGGCTGAATCATGGCAAAGATCTTCAACACCCCAAAGACCCGCACAGCTTAGCCTCTGTCTCCCTCCTCCGTGTTGACTCTCACTTTCAGCTCATCCCGCATACACATAGTGCTTGTCTCTTCCTCAATCATGGTTCTCCATACTTATCTTTTCTTCCCTGAGATCTCCTCAAGATCACTCATTCGCTATGACTCAACCTTGCCTGAGGTTACTCTCTGCTGCGGTTTGGCTCTGGAAGGTCCCTGGTATCATTTGGATAAGTGTCCCACCAAACAAACCCCACGGATTAGATGCTCGGTCTCTCCAATACTGGGTCTGTCCATCTCCCAGCAGTCCACTGGTGCCATTGGGAGACAGTAGAACCTTTAAGAATTAGGACCTAGCTAGAGGAAGTGAGGTCACTGGGAACGTGCCCTTAAAGTGGAGTTTGGGGACTCCCCCTCTCTGCTTGCTGGTGAGTAAGATGTGAACCACTCCCCCTGTGACGGCTTCCATCATGATATGTTGCCTTGCCACATATGAAAAGCAGCAGGCCAATCACAATGGACCATAACAAATCCCTACTCCTCATAAGGTGTCTGACGTAGGCATTTTGTCATAGCTATGGAAAGCTGTCTAACACAGTGTTCCAAAGGGCTTGGGAGGTCCAGACTGGGTCCCTAGCTTGGCACTACTTGGAAGTGATGGGCACTTTAGGTGGTAAGGTTTAGTGGGTGGTCTTTAGGAAATTCATAGACCCCTGAGCCTTCTTCACTCATTTGGTGTCCTGGCTCCTAGTGAGATTGGTGGTTTTGCATGGCAGACATGCTGTTCCTGTGATTTTGTACCTCCTCGGAGGCTCCATAGGAAATGGGCTGACCAGTCACGGATCAGTCACTCTACAACAGTGAGGCTAATAAACAGTTAAACACTTTCTCTTTAGGAGTCGGCTGTCTCGGGCTTTAGTTAAAGTCCCAGATGCATAGCATGCATCCTCTGATCACGTCTTCCCACCAGAGGGTCAAACGTTGTGCTCTCCAGCCCCACCTAATTGCTCAGCTCCCTTTCAAGCGATTGGATGGAGTCGACAAGTCACTCCAGACTCGTCCAGCTTGGCTCTTCACTGCACACCCAGAACTAGGAAAGCATGATTGTTGAGCGAGCGGGTAACCTGAAGTACCCACGTGAAAATCCATCTCTCCCACAGCCAACCAAATGCACTATGCACCTCTTCCTTATCTCGAATGATGGACTGCAGCCTCAGGAAACTCAGCGTGTAACCTTGTAACACCCAGGTAAACTTGCCCAGTTACTTTCATGTTGGTTTTATTGCTCCAGCTACCTAGTAACAGAGCACAAAACTAAACACGATGTGCAAAAACCGCAGTAGGATAGCTGCTCTTTACCCAGGTTATGATGCACTAAAAGCTTAGAAAGCTTAGAACGTCTGGTTTTGTTTTTCCTTTTAGTATATTTGAGCCAGGATCCTGTCATGTATCCCAAGCTAACTTTTAACTATTGATTCTTCCTGCCTCAGCATCCAGAGTGCTGAGATTTCAAGTGGTTGCCACCATGTCCAGCTTCATAAAATCTTTATTGCACAGTTGTAAACCTCTAGTTTAGGTGGCATTTAACCTTCTGGTGGCAGACACACCCTTCCCAGTTTCATACAATTGCACCTGAAGACTGAGACCTCAGGAAAACACACATGTCTTCTCCACGCACACAGTGTTTCCATGGTCACTGACTCCAAAGCAGCATTTGAATTTGGATAACAATAAAGAACAGGGGATAAAACAAGATGATATTAGACAGGAATGCTATGAACGTTCATTATGCATACTGAGGTGGCGAATTTTCTCACTGAAGGATCTGAGCATTCTCCAAGTGTTTTCTGCATATATGAACAATCTAAAACTAAGGTGAGTTTTGGAACAGTTGTTGTCAGTATGTCTTTAGCTAGTGCAAAAATGGTTCTCTCTCTCTGTGTGTGTGTGTGTGTGTGTGCATGTGCACACATGTGTATGCATGGATAGACGTACTTGTGTGTAAACAAATAGAGGCCAGAGGTTGGTACTGTGTATCTTCTGGAATCTCTCCACATTATTATCATGATTGCTATTAGTATTATTCTTTTAGATAGGGTCACACACTGAACACAGCACTCACGGATTTGCTAGACTGGTTGGTCATGAAGTTCTGGGAACCCACCTGTCTCTGCCTTCTCTCCCTCCCCCAGCACTGGCGTCAGAAGTGTGCACTGCCACACCTATATTTTCTGTGGGTACTGGGGACCCAAATTCAGGTTCAGCAAGCACTTTACCCACTGAGCCCCTCCTCTAGCCCTCTCATTTCTGTAAGACATTAGGGGCAAAGAAATGTTGACTTCCAATTTAGAAATTCTTTAAGCAAAAGAACCTGGCTGACAAAATTTTGACACATGACAGATCACAACACAGAATGAGTCTTCCTTTATTCCCCTCCTCTGGGGGAATTTCGAATTTTGAAAGTCATTGCTAAGTATGGAACGCATCCCAGCTGTTTTGAGAACCCCATAGTGTCTGCTTCCATTTCAGGAACATTCCAAAAGGCAGCAGTGAAAAGAACAAGTCCTCATGACAGGAGCGCTGTTGAAGAGCCGCCTGGGTTTTAGGCTTCGTTGTGGCGGGGCACAAGTGTGGGCCCTGAAATCGCTATTTTCATATTACTGTCATCACTATAGTATCTTGGAGGCTGGATATCACGAAGGACTTGGATTAAACAGCCTTCTGTACAGTCGAACCCAACACCCAGTTGCTACAGGCACATGTGTGTGGTGTGGGAGTGGAGTATCTTACACAGATAGGGAGGAAAAGTGGCCAGGAGCCAAGACCACCAAGACTGTCCTCCATAACCGTGCCCCAGAAGCTTCCAAAGAACTCCTAGTGCACTTTTCTCGGAGCCAATACTAACCCACCCCTCCAGTCCCCATGTCCCATCTGTTGCCAGGGTATCACATTACTCTTATGCCCCACCCTTGGTATTCCTTACCGAGCCTCCCACAGAGGATAAGAAAGGTCCAGATGTAATCTGTTCATTTTTAAAAAGCCACATCTCCCTGCAACACCCTTTACTCAGTAGTTTCAGAGGTTAAAACGTGTGAGGCACCGGGTATGTTAACAGTAAGTCACTCCAGAAAGGAGCCATGTCCTCCTCTGAGGCAGCTCTAACATGTTAGCACCACAGAGATACTTACACTAATGACAGGGCTATGCGGTTCAAGGGAGCAAACACAGGGTGGTACATTTATGCCTCCGATTACAGTCTTTCTCCCGTGCAGCACATCAGAGAAGCGCAGATGTCAGGGTTTGAGGACGCCTGTAATCACAGCCACGGGGGCTGAGCTCTGAGAGCCCCTTCCCTTCTCCTGGTGGCCTCAGCTCTTCGCCGACTTTCTCATCACGGGTTGGTGGCAGCTTTAAATCACCTTGATCCAAGCCGGACCGTGGTTAACGCGCATCCTCGGAATGCGAAGGAATGACTTCTGCTTTGCAGCTACTTGTTCCCCAAGACTCAGATTTCAGTCAGGCCGGGTGCCTGTTCTGAAGACCTCCAGGGACGTGGGGATGTTTAGTCACATGGGAAGGTGGAGGGAAGAAGGGAAGGGTGGCTCAGGAAGGGGAAAGGGCCTGCATTTTGTTTTTTCCTGGGCCGGGCATTAATCTATCCTCCCTGTCAGACCCGGTACAAGAAGGGCACTTTGCCCTGGCATCAGTAGTTAGGTTCGGAGAGGGTGATAGGAAAGACATGGAGGGCTAGGGACTGGGGTGATGTGTCACACATGAAGAGCACAGCAACACAAAGGTCCACTTCCTCACAGCTGGAAGTAAACGCGCATGCTCACCCTCACCGAGGGGTTAAAGACACAGGAGAGCAGGGGCGAGAGCTGCGGACAAGAGCAGGCTCCAGGTAGGGGTGCGGAGCAAAGGTCCTGACCAGGGCTGGGAGTTTAGAGGGTGCTCAGAAAAACCAGCACTGACTGTAGCAGCCCATCAATCCTTCCCCAGGAGGAGGGTGGAGTCCTATTGGAAGGAAGTGAGCTTGGTGTGAAAAGCCAGAGGCTTGCCAGAGCAGCCAAGGCGTCCTGAATGGAGCGCAGCCTCTGCTGCTTGATTGTACAAAAACCCAAAACCGTCTCCATCACAGGGCCAGTTGGCCTCCTGGGATAGGGAGGGGCAAAGGCACATTCAACATTTGTGTTCAGTAAAATCTCGAAAACAGAAGATCGCCAGCTCGCAGGCAGCTAACGCCTTTGCTCTAGAGAGGCAGCCACACTGCAGTAAGGATTCCCAGACATTAGCAGATGTCTGCCAAGGGAATGAGCTGGCTGTAGGAAGGGCTCAGCTTTCCCCTTTACAAGTCACGAGTAAAGTAAGCGCACTTAAGAAGGATTCACTGAGACCCTTGGGCCAGACCAGAGTGATTGTTAAAAATACATCGGGTCATAGATGTATTGAAATATTCAATTAAACTCTTTGTCAAATCCAAGTTAGTATTTGAGAGCTAAGAGACAGGAAAGAAGGTTCTGTCCCAGGGCAAGGCATCGGTGGGACACGGCGCAGCTATGGATATGCATGCAGTATAAATAAAAATACATTTCCATGCAGGATGCCGGAAGTGGATGTAGGGGGATGCAGAGTCTAAGGCTGCCTTGGCTTAACAAAGTGAGACCAAAAACACAGACGACAGTTCTTAAAAAGACAGAAAATAGTATATTTGGAGCTGGGGATGCAGTTTGGTGGTAGAGTGCTTGCCTAACATTTTGATTTCCAGAAGGGAATACAGTATATTTCAAAGGGCTCTTAGAACTCATTATTATTAGGGTCCCGAGGAAATGTTGCCTCCTCTAGAGGATCCCTCGAGGACCAGTGGAGAGTAGCACGCCCACCACTCTGATTTTCCCATCACCCTAATTGTGTCTCTATGGAGACCATCTCTCAGCTTGGTCAGGCAGTATTCTCAGCACAGTAGGTTCTCAATCAATGGATCTGAGCCGAATAAAATTTAACACCGTTGATCAGTTACTAATGTGAGATTGATCAGTTACTAATTGTTTTACAGTGGGAAATCTCATTCATTCCCAGGAATTAAGAGCTCATCCTAGATACTTTAAAGACAGTGTTGGGACCGACAAGCATGTGCAAAACCCGGGTCTGACCCTAGTACTGTATGAAACCATGGTGTGGAGAATGCCTGAGATCCTAGCACTTGGAAAGTAGAAGACAAGAAGTTCAAGGTCACCCTTAGCTACATAGTGAGTTAAAGGCCAGCCTGCACTACATGAAATCATGTCTTAAATACATAGGTAACTTCCAGCAGGTAAAGAGAGAGCCCCAATGATTTTCTTAGCTTGAAATAGAATGTCAGTCAACAGGAATCGCAACATTCTTCCGGCTTCTTAACAGCTTCAGCTACACAGCAGTGTAACATGGAGATGTAAACACCTGCTCTTTGCCCGGTGTGATGAACAAGGTCTCTAGAGAGGCAGCATGTCCTTCCTCTGCGTATGAAAAGATGTACTGTCATTGAGAAACAACATGGCCCACTCAGGGCTGGGCAAGTGATGCTGACTAAAAGGGACACAGGACTTCATGGAAGGTCCTAAGAGAAGAGCAGGGGCACAAATGGTGAGTGTCACACTCAGGGGCTTGGTCCTCATTCCATCTATAGTCAGGGATGATAAGGTTCAGTGTAGCTTTTACTTCACCCCAGCCAAGCCCCTCCCTTCTCTATTCTACCCCAGGCTGAATGTGGCCATGTGGCCATTTCCACAGGAACTGACAGCAGTGGCCAGCAGAGACTTTCAACCCCAGTGTAAAGAGAAGGCAGAATGACAGAGAGAAGATAGATTTCGATTTCATACTGGGCAGCCTTGCAGTGATTCAGATGGAGCCAGTGAAGTTTCTTATTTTAGGTCTCCATAGAAGTACAGAATGATATTGTAATTATCAAATATATTTCACACAGAACAGTTAGCAAACTGCAGCTACCCTGTTCTCTCTCTCTCTCTCTCTCTCTCTCTCTCTCTCTCTCTCTCTCTCTCTCTCTCTCTCTCTCTGTGTGTGTGTGTGTTGTGGGGGGAAGCACATGATTTGTATACATATGTGTAGTGGACAAATGCCAACCTTGGGTGTACCCATCCTTCTTTCCTTCCTTCTCCTCTTCTCCTGCCTCCCCTCCCTTCCTTTCTCTTTTGAGAGAGCCTCTTACTGGCTCTGAGAGACAACAAATAGACCAGGCTGATTGGCAAGGGAGCCCCAGAGATCAGCTTACTTTTGAATTGCTAGCCTATGCCAATACTCCTGGCATTTTTTTAAAAAAATGAATACATTCAGATGCCAGTCCTGGGTTTTGCAAGGGAACATTACCATCTCCACAGTCCTACATCCTGTTTCTATATGGCTGATGACAAGAGTCTGTTTTACACTTTTAAAATGTATTTATTCATTCATTTACTGTCTTCAGACAGAATTTCATGCTGTAGCCCAGGCTGGCCTGGAATTCACTCTGCAGTCTAAACCTGAACCCACAGTAATCTCTCTGTACGAGTCTTCTCAGAGCTGGGATTACAGTTATGAACCCATATGCCCACTGGTTTTTACATATGTAAGTAATTGCAAACAAAACTTGCCCAAACCAAATAGCACGTGACATAAATGCATATGAACCCCAAAGTCCCAAATACTTAAACCCGGCTTTTTGTAGAAGGTTTGCCAGCACCAGATCTAGAATTGACCCCCTCTATCCCTTTTCTAGGCCTGTCTAGCCACAGATCACTCACCTGTGTCCCGTGTGACTCCTCAACACAGTATTCCAAATACGATAGCTAACTCTATAGCATGATGGCGTATGGGTCTGATCTTTCGTGCTGAAGCGGTAACTATCATGAGACTCACAATCCCTTTGACATTTCGAAAGGATGCCCCTCCCCCCACCTGTCAAAGGGATGCTTAGCTTTTAGCCAAATCCCATAGCCAGGCTGGCTTCTACTGATAAGCCCCTTCTGTGGCCTCTGTAGCACCGTGGTTATTACAGCTACCAAAACAGCATTCTTAATTAAAGGCCCAAGGAAAGCCCGGGCCCTCCCTCCACCCCACCGCCATCACATTATTACCAGTGGGCCTAGCCAGAGTTGGTTTTAAAAATTCACCCTAACATTAACACTCTTCAAATTGACTCTCCTCTAGGATCACATGGGGATGGAGAAAGGGAAGGGGTAAGGAAGTGTGGATCTGGCAGGCAGGTTTGGCTTCCTGTCAAGCAGTGATTTAACATAGACGTTTCTTAGTATTCTGACGGGATTGTTCTACGGATGTTCAAATCCTTTACAGAAGATGGAATGGAACTTTCAACTTACACAAATTCTCCTACACTTCATTTTAAGGCTCTGGGCACTAGGGGACTGAACCCAGGCCAGTAGGAGAACTCAACAAGTGCTCTCCCCTGAGGTACATCTCCAATGCCTAATCTGTACTTCAGGGGCGTGTGTGTGTGTGTGTGTGTGTGTGTGTGTGTGTGTGTGTGCATGCGCGTGCACATGTGCACGCCAGAGGAGGCCAAAGGGTGTGAGATCCCATGAATCTGAAGTTATAACCAACTAGATGTGGATACTGAGAACCACCCCATCGCCAGGTCTCCGCAAGAGTAGCAAGTACTGTTAACCACCAACCCATTT